CTTCGATGCTCAATTGAGCCGGTGACCATTGCAACAACCGAGAAGGTGTGAATGTGGCTAGTACGCCCCCTCTTGGTTAGTTTGGGATCGGGGTTTGTCGCCAGCTCCCCTAAATGAACTGCCAATGGTTCACCTAACCGGTTATAGCCCCGGATGTCGGCCTTCCGTCCTCTTATTTTGGTGGGAAAAACACTCCCGCGACGGGAAGGCAATGAGTAAGAATTTCTCAGCAGAGGCTACCAGAAACATTTGGTCTTACGGTAACATTTAATGAAGTGAAAACGATGAGTGATCAGCCACAACCCGAGACACCAATTCCCGATTACACTGAGGCTTTCGGAGGCTTGCGCATGGGTAATATATTCAGTTGGCAGTAAGTTATGAAGTGCATAAAGAAATGGGAATTGAAGATAGTTGAACTCCGCACGATAAGCACGGCATTGATTGAAAGTGAATGATACTTGTGAAAAAGTGAAAAATAATGTGGGGTAGATAATGAGAGAGATCTCCAGAAGGACAGATAGGACATTTAGTCTCATGGCCACAGTAATAACAATTCTCGATCCAGATTACGTTGCTTGTGCAACTCAGGCTTTATAACATTAATTGCTAAGGATTGCGCAATAGGCAGGATCTTTCCACTCACTGAAACAAACCTCCATATTTGTACTGTATTCCGTGAAGAACTAATGGGACCAACTCTATCTCATACTGAGCTTCCGAAATCATTGGTTTCCTATGCCGTTGTATTTCGTCTACTCCTAGCTACAATTCATGCGTGCCTGGTCGCGTATCAATTCTGCCCCCATTATGGTGTACCGGGCGGCGCTGGGATTGGATTTTGAACTGAACTAGTAGTCATGACAGAATATAGAAGTACAGGTGACAGGCAGGGTATCGGTCGGTAAGACGACTTCCGGTAAGTAGCATTCTATCTGAATTCCACAAGCCAACGTTGGGTTCGTCCACGATCAAGTAGCGGCAGCAACCAAATACCGATTCCCGGCGGCTGTGGGTATTTCGATCAAAGTTAATTTGAATAAAGCTCGGCTGATTCAGCACGAAATCAAGGCTGATCGCAGTACACGTACAATACATGTACGGGCAAAGTTGAGTGAGTACTGTACTGGATTAACGTCAAGTGATAGAGTGATGTACAGAAAACAAACCTCCAACTTCCGGTAAACAGACCATGAGTTTGGTCATCTGCACGTATCGAGTTACGGACAAACTGCAACATATACAATCGTTGAGAGCCAACGAAATCTTTCAGGACATAAACTGTGCGATTTCGCTATATTCTTGCTTCTCTGATCACTTCAATTAATATATTCGTCAGTCCTCCGCCTCTCCTTAGAGAGATACGAAAATCAATACATATGTCAGTGCTTGATAAAGTATTTTTTGTCAATTGTTGAAAGGTCAGTAGCCTGGGTGGGATTCGAACTCACATATGGACGTCACCAACGCTTTTTAGACAGCGCACACTCTACCAGCTGAGCTAAGAGGCCATTCCGATAGCACTAATCTGTTCACATTCGAAATCTAAAGAAAACCTGTCAGGTCAGTCAGCTTACATGCTAACTGGTAGATGAAACATTCCTCTGTCAGTTAGATGGGTAATTTGAATGTGAAAATATCAGTGCTATCCATGTGTCCTCGTAGCTCAGCTGGTTGAGCGGCACTGTACAGAAAGCGTAGGCGGCTTTGATGAGTGGGCTCCAATCCCACCTAGGCTAAGGAAATTTTCACAATCGACTTAAAAACTTCAAATCTGCCAAACAACAATTTTATAAATTATTGTTGAACAATGGTATAATCATTAAAACAAAAATGTATATCCAACTTATTTTAAATATAATCAGATGCATATATAATATCGGACGAATATGATTTAGATTAGTGAATTCAGTTTTTTCCATCCCACTACAAGGAATGTGATGCATTCGAACGAAAACGTTCACTAAAGAAAAAAGACTCCGATAGACTATTTTCCGACCGAATGAGAGAACCCGATCCTTGCCTATCAGTTCCATTTGGTATCTGATAAATAAAAGAGATTCGCAGATATGACCTGCACTGTTGATGTATTTGTGCGCTCTGTTGCAGAATACGTTTTTGATTTTGATATTTTTTTTTCCATATCTTCCCCTGTTTCTTACAGAGCAACACAACCGAAACTACAAAATCTCAACGAAGAATCTGTTGATGTACCGGGAAATGCACGGGAAGCTGTCACGAACACGCGTGCGCCGGAGAAACCACCCGAGGCTCCTGGCTCTACGATTACCAGTCCGGCTAACACCCCGGAGGTAGGAAAAGATCAGAAACACACCGATCCAGGCAAATCTACGACACAACCGATCTCAAGCACAATAGATTGTAATTTGTTTAAAGAAATGTTCCTGCCTTTGCAGCGCGGTATGACCAATATGCATGAAGATTTGAAACAACAAATTGCCCAAGTTATTCAGCGAATTGACAAACTCGAAGGACAAGTGGCAACTGTTATTCAACGGATACCTCCACCACCAGCACCGATAGACATGACCCAACTAGCCAAATCCTCCACAGAGATGGAACAAGATATCATCACTGTTCACAGGCCTCGCGTACGGTTGTCACAAATGATCAAACGGCGAAATGAATTTGAGCTGTAGGTACACAACTGTATTGACTTGCTCCCCCTCTCTTGCTCTCATCCACGCCGAACTGGATGCAGCATTTCTTCATCCCTTTGTACACAACAAACATTCAATTGTTTGCCGATGAATGTGTGTGTGTGAGTGAGTGCGTGAGCGAGAGAAAGAGAAACATGTCTGATCATCATCGAGATGAACACAACGACAGTATTGTTCATGCTTGTTTTGCAACACCCTTGTTTTCAAGCTACCAGCATTATTCTTAGGAGTTCTGTTTTCTGGCCGTTTGTTTGTTTTGTAAAAATTCATCCGAATGATAAAAGATATTTCCGTGTCATTCGCACCTCCTTACCGACCTAGTTGGCCCACGGAAACGGTGAATTAAATATAACCACATATGTAGGTACAATTTCTGTTCCAACTATGGCTGACAGGTATGGGGAAAAACGTTGAGGCTGGTTTGTACACATCAGTCAAGACGCATTAAGGGAGGAGTTCAGTGAGTCTATTTGCTAAAATGATTCTCTTAGTTCTGACCGTCTGACAGATACCGGAACTCATCCTCATGCAAAATCAAACCTCTCCACTAGTCTCAACATACATTTTTGCGTTAATAACAAAACAAGGCCCAACCCTGAGAATCCGTTTTTCGGTTATGGAAATTGGCGGCCTAATCATAATGAGCTGGTTTAGTGATCTATGTTGATAGATAGATAGATAGATAGATAGATAGATAGATAGATAGATAGATAGATAGATAGATAGATAGATAGAAGCAATCAGTCGCCATATCTAACGAGAATTTATCTTTATCATGGTTACTTGCACATAAAATAACTTGCATAAATGATTGTTTCCGAATTTAGAAAATCCGGAAATATCAGCGAAGAAATGTGCACAACTACTGAATACTGTACACAAAACAAATCATTGCTTCACCGACCGCCTATTATTTCAAGCTTATTCAGAAGTAATGCAAATTCCCAAACAGAGGCGATTGCATGAACATCTTCCACAAAGCCGGAAATCTGTATTCTACATGAACTAAAAGCCTTAGATTGATGTTGAAAGATGCAGGTCCTATAGAGCTATCACATCCATTACCACCGATATACAGAAAGCTGCTTAATGTTCAACTCAGTAAGCCGGGTGGGAAACGCTTTCTATTGATCTACCCGGTCCTAGTCCAGTGACTACATGAAAATATTGTTCAGAATTTGCATTAGGACATTTCTCGAAATTCAGTCGGAATTATGGAGGTTCACGAGAAAATGAAATGTCCCGTCGATTAGACATGGCTCCATTCGTGCTAACAAATAGTTAGCAAAAATTAATTTTGCGAATGTTTCAAATTTTGGCCTCATCACAAATGATTATGTGCGGCCTTTCTGAATTGCTTATTCAGAAATCAATTAATGTTCAACATATATATAAATATATTAAAGAACGATTGCTTATATTTTTAAATGGTTAAAATAGACTGTCGAAATAGTGAGTCAGGCAGGGAAGGATGACTATTCTGTTTCTGCGACCAACTAACGCCTTATATATATAAACAAATAACTAAAAGAATTTGTACAACACATCAAATATGGGTATATTTTCTTGGCGATCGATTGCACGCATAGCTTAGGCCCACAACATGAGTTGATTCAGTCTTACTGGGTTCTTGAAACAACGTTTGTTTCCATATATAGCCGCATACAACCATCTACTATTCTCATACACGTGTAATTTTTGTTTCCACATTGATTTAATATGGACTTTTTATCGTCTACTAAAATAATAACATTCCCTAACCTCTTGATGCTTAGTTCTGGAAAAATGCATAATCTCTGTGCCAGTTCATTGATCGCAGCAGAAGTCCATTCATGCCTTATTTTCCAAGGGATTGATACATGATTCCGCTCTCTTATTTGTTTTTCCAACACGGTTCTCATTCTTACATCGTAAGTGTGTGAATGGGTGAGAAGATCGAGGGAATTCAGAGAGATAAGCATCTAGTAATTCTGTCTCTGATCGTTTCCCACCTCATGTGCATGATTTACATTACCATTCACTAGAATCAAAAGAAAAAATGCACATTTGGACAAAATACCTAGACGAATGTAACTATTGTGATCCTACACTCCCTGGCATTTTCATTGAAGCACTGGATGCAGCTTCAGGTGGATCAATGTGAATCCTTTGTTCTGGACCAATCACAATCCACATGGTTTGAAAAGGAATCGTAAGTTCAGCGAAATATGAGCTACTACTGGTCAGCGCCTCTCAGCCAATGACATATTATTTACCAACACGCAATTCTCGAAATTAACTTACCGTTACTTCAGTGGCTTTCTTCTCGCATCTCGGTGACGCGAGATTTTTAGCACGCAATTACTCTGACTTCCAGTGCGATTCTGATAGTGATACCGAATCTCGAGTTTCGTCCATTAGGATTACTACTAGTAATTCATATTACTTCAAGTTTGGGTAATTGATTAGTTCACGCCCTGTTCATTGTCCTCTTTCACAGATGATTGTGACGTAATGAAATCAAGGTCTACTATGAGCACCTGTTTCTCACTAAATAAACTTATCCATACTGAACATGTAGAATTTCTGAGAACCGACACTTGGTATGCAAAACTTAACTGATCCCATAAGACCATGAGGCTAGCGTTATCGTCTCCATGATGGTCAATTCTGGTAATCAATAACCCAACCATATAGCTTTAAACCTTTCGAATGATAGATACCGAAACATCAGATACAAAGAGTCCTTAAACCATTTCACTAACTGAATAGATGAAAGTTCCCATTTAACGTGTGAGTGCAGCGTTATCTTGAGAATGTGGTATTGTATAAATAAAGTGAATATTCAGTACATTGAAAAAAGCAGAAAATTAAATTTGTAGGCTGATTTTCATTGATTAGCTAAATTCGAACCCCAACCGCATAAATAAATACAGAAGATATGTAGCCGTATGCTGTCAAGCTTTCCTACTTTGCAGTCTACCTCTATTCGACCTTGCCGTTTGACTTCATTTCACTACCGCCCGGTACCTCATGAGGAAATAATGAATAAATGAGAGCGTAGAATGACTCTGTGACTTTCAAAGGGACAACTCGAATTGGTGCATAATTGTTGAAGGGTTATAGTCGTCGAATATATAGTTCTGGCAGAACTTTGGAAAACTCTTTTTGAAACACATGAAAACGAATCTGAGCGGAATTTTCAAATGACCAGGAATACGGCGTTCTTTCAAAAAGCGGTAAATTCACGTGTGATCAATCATATTACACGGAAGAATATTGGAACTGAAACTAGTCATTCATTATGTGATCAATCTGTACAACAAAGAAGGTTCAACTAGGGGATGAGTACACAAATGTTCTAATGAGCTCGGAAATTATGATAACTGAAAGAAGGGGAGCGATAATGAAATTATTACAGCGTCTAGCTGGGAAGCATTAGAGTGACGCAATCACCAACACCACCGTTGCGTTATAAAAGTTCATCAAACCCATACGCGGTTTTCAGCGCTCTACAGTCAATAAATCCCTGGAGTTTAGGGTTTTCATCACCCCAGTCCTTTCTAATGAGTCGGCTTAGTGACCCAATTCTATCGAGCGTTGTGCACTTAAACCGAATGGCAGCTTACAATCGTGAAAACCTAGATTGCGGGGAATATATTTGCACTTTTCGGTGTACTGTCGACCTTTATGCCTTCCGATGCACCTTAAAACGCAGATACATCACAAACAAAGCACACAATTGTGGGTAATATTCGTGTGGTATTTTTGCATATCTTTGGATTTGTCATCAATTTGCTTGGAAAGATCAGGATCACTGATCGCAAATGACAACAAAATCGTTAAGTGCCGGATATAACCAGAATGACAATTTATCTTATTCCTTCAGTGTGCACGACAGTGCAATTTGTTGGTTTATGGCTAATTACGAGTCACTGTCGCTTAGCGAACTAGATGGATGAAAACAAACGTAATCGGGAAGTGAAAAGGTGCAACGCGAATGAGAAGAACTTGTGCGAAGAGGCTAGGCAACGAGCATGGGTGTTGTGGATGTCAGGTCGTTCACTGTGGTTCTGCAAAGAGAACGCAGTAGTTCGTTGGAAAACCAAAGGAAAAATATCTTATACTGGTGATTGGAAAGCAACAGAACTGATTATTTTTCTGTTTGCGAGTACTGTTCTTAAGAATCTTTTAAACCGTACCTTCCGATGCCAAACATGTATAGGTTTTTCTTTCTTGGTAAAAAAAGAAACGGTGAAATTACATGCAACGACGTTCTAAGTGTAATGTTATCTGTATAGCATTGAGCAGCTAGATCGCAACTACTCAAACAACAATTCGTGGCATCTTCTATAACCTTTACCGAATTATCCATTCATTGTATTCCATCCATTATCATCCCACCAATGGGAGTTAATTACACTGGAATTCATTTATTCTCATCTAAAGATGACTNAAGCTGATGTTCTCACAGGCTACGGGAGACCTCAGTATCTCACTCACGAATTCTTTCTGCTCGATCAGGGAGAAATCAGTTCATTTCAAACGGACAGTTGTTATGATTGACTTGATTATTTATGTAGGCAACACGTGACCATTAGAGCACCAATCATAGCTCGAGGTTCCCAGCTGAACACCTTTGGTGAATAAATTAGGTCCGTCAAAAAGGCCTTACGCACCTAAAGGGTGAATTTTCAACAATTTACGACTTTTACAGTGAATAGATAAAACAATTACAAAC